TGGAGGGGACTCCATGAGGTGAGCGCTTCACGATGAGGTGAGCGTGGCTGTGGCAGGGGAAGAGGTGGAGGGTAGAGGGGAGGTGGCACTCACCACTGCCCCCTCCACTGGTGCCTCCGCCCCAGTGTCCAGTCCAAGGTCCAGCCCGGCAGCAGGTGTGGCAGCAGCAGGGGGCTTCTCCGCTTTCAGCTCTGAGGGTGGGGCCTGTTCAGACTCGGCCTTTGATGGATTGTTTTGAAGGTAAGTGGGAAAAGATTCAATAGGTGAACTGATAACATCACAGAATACTAGACAATTGAGATTTTCTCTCTTATCCGACAGGTTAGCAGATTCATTAAACCTGTGCTGGATGAAAACCCCACATCTGGCATCATGAACCTGAAAAGTCCAGGAGTGGACTCTTACTAAGCTTCACTTTTACAAGCATCAAGAACCAGCATTAACTTTGAAGTGAAGCAAAGACTTAGCTTGTGGTATCTCATTTTACTCAATTAAAATATTTTAACTATTCGTTATGGCATCTGGAAGAGTTCCTAAAATGGTACGTCCTGTTACTTAGCAGAGAGAAAAAGGTCTACTCTTGCCAGTTGGAAGGAGTGAGGAAAAGTTCAAATGGCACATGTTTCTGGTGCCACCCCAGGTGTTGTTAAGCCTTACACACACAAAATTGAGGGGTCCTCCCAAAATGCACTAATTTCCACTACCCACCTATTTTGCCAATGCCAGGTTGGGAGCAGCAGGCCCAGCTACCTAGTAAGCAGCCACCAGAATCATACTTTGCCACCTGCAAATGGCCTGCTTGATCCCTTGTCTCTTCTCCCTCCAACAAAGTCATTAGCAAGCAGCTTATTTCATATAGTAAGGTAATTCTTTAAGGAGTCATAAGACAGTATTCTCCATTAGAGATTAAATTAGATTCTTCTAATTGTGTGGACATGTGGACAAGAGTGAGGTCCTTGAGTCCTGCTGTGACCAATATATATTCTGATTCTAATTCCAATCCTCATCAGGCCCCTGTAAACTCTTAGCTCAAGAACTTTTTAATTTTAAAATTGGCAATATTAAATAACAGGTCATTAAAAATATCACAGTCAATGCATTTTACCATGGCTACTGAAAATCTTCCCTAGCCTGATTAATATAAATAAGCATTATTTATTGAGCATGATGGCTCCCTGAGAGGATGGCCACAAAAGGGCACATTAAGAGTTTTTTTCCATCAAGACAATTAAATTGTAAAAAAATTGGAAGTATTTTCCTAGAAGAGAAAGAAGTTTCCAAAAAATACACTCTGGAAAAATGAGTATGAGGTCTGCCTGATTCGCCATAAGAAAACAAAAGCCACATGTTCTGTAAGTACAAATCCAAGCACATGACATGTTCCATGCTGAAAGTCTAGACTCGGGCAGTGAATAATGAACAGCTACTTCTGGGTAAGCATACAAAATATTTTATCTTGTGGCCCCCAACAAGTCCCCCACTAGGAACACGATCACATGTCCTTCTCTTCACAGGGCATAATACAAATAAAGGACACTTTTAGTATTTAGTTACGTAAAATGTTGACATTTTTATGGACTTTTATAACTTTCAAGAGGTGATTTGATGCAATTCTTAAAAAGAGAATGAGATAAAATTCACTCTAAAACACTCTCAGGAGTCCTCTATGGAAAATAATTTCACTTTTATTGTTCAAAAAGAATTATCTTCATAATGGAACATTTTCTTAGCAGTAAAAAGATACTCTAAGCTCTCAGGGTATGATCTTACCATTTTGGAAGTTAAGGTGATTTGTTCTGAGAGTATGTTAGTAAATGACCAACCCAGTGAAAGCTATAAAGGGTGATTTAACAAAGCACGAGGACAGCCAGCAGCAGATGGCCGACCTCTGCTCAGACTATGGAGGAAGTCTGAAGTCAAATAGACAGTCAAGAAAAGTCTCAAAAATGAGTCAGATAAATGTATCATTCATTAAGAAAACCCAACAAAACAGTCCAAAGACAACTTAAAATGAAAAAAAAAAAAGAATTGCATTAGAATTTGGTGTTACTGAGTCTGATGAAATTTTGAAGTTACATAAAGACAATAGGGTGATCTCCTATATTTGTCAAATTGTGTTTGCTTACTAAAATCAGACAGTGCCATAGAAGCACAACATGAAAAAGTGATTCTGTCCCCCAAAGTTACAAATACCCCCAATATTATAATATTATACCAAATATTGCAAATTAAATTCTAGAGGGATAAATAACCCCCCTGAGTGATGAGTAAGGGTAAAATATGACAGCATATATAAAGGCAGCCACTCAAATTTGGAAATAGAAATGACCCTTTGATTCTTTCTCAGGTGATATAAGGTTGAAAATATTTTGTCAAGATGGAAAGAAAGACACCGGTAAACTGTGAACTGTATGTTTTGGAAAGATCTAAACTCATCCTGCTGATTGTACCTTGCTTCAACCATTTCATTCATTTTTTTTCCCCCCAGAGAGTTCTTCCTTTGACAGACACTGTATGTGGCTGATACCAGGCCGTGCTACTTTGTAGCACTGTAATGATTTCCTGTTGCTTGCTGAAGGAGTCCTTCCTATACATCAAAGGAAGGAACACTATCTTGGTGACATTAGGAGGCAACACTGATTTAGCTCTAAGACTCAAATTAAATTCTTCCTTTAGAACAAAATGAGTGGTGTAGCCATAGTCACATTTCTAGAATCCTCCATGAGAGGATGATGGTAGGTAGGTCAACACAGAGGAAGACAAGGATCAGGAAAGTGGAGTGACAGCCTAGTCACATTCCATTATGGCAATGCTTGTGGGTTCCTGCTTCTCCAGTTCTGGAGAAACTAATTTAGTGAGAACTGCAAAAGGAAACTCTAAACTCTGAGCAAGGTTTGCAGATTGAAAAAAATATAAACTTGTTCAAGGGTCTATGAAGCAATTAGATGTGAGAGCTGGCCAGGTGGGCAACTTAATCCTCCACTTTGTTCAATGAACTAAATGCTGGGACATCATCCTGTTCCTGGGAAGGACCTGTACAATACCAGTGCAATAGACATGAAGGTTCACTGTGAGTCCTTAGTTTCTCACAGGAAAGTCAGTACTATTGTATTTCCATACTGGCTATGGCTGAGCGAAGCTGCCTCCTGAAAAGAAGGTGGTAGATGTCTCCTGCAGAAAATATCAAAGACAGGGGAGAGCAGGCAATGGAAGATGCAAGAACCAGCTGCAGGCAGAGAGAGATATTCAGAGAAACTTCAAGTAACAGTGGATTCTGTACCTGGATATTTTGCATCAAAGTAGTAGAAGTGAGTTTAATTTGACTCACCACCTTTCATTTTATACCAGTATTTTTTCAGTTTTCTTGACCCATTTACAAATGATAAATAAAAATCTCATCCTCTGGCAATGATATAATCCTTATTCTATCATCAGGCTAAAAATCACAAACCTGTAACTTATCCTTAAACCGCCTCATACTCACATACTTTCTATTTCAAACCTTTAAAATGTTTTTGCAGGTCACAAAGGCTCTGCCTTTTATCTGGTTTCCCAAAGGCAAAAGTACAACAATCTATGGACAAATAACCTTTAAGAAAACTTCCCAGAAAATAATTCCTTACACTTAAAAGTAAGCCATTTATAAAGAAAAATTCATTGTACTGAAATCCACTTCCAAGCTTCTACTGTGAGTCAGGAGCGAGGGTAGACAGCATTCCTATGGGAAACCAGATGAGCCACAAAGAGCCTTCGTGTACTAACCTGCAAAAAGAAAAATCCTGTGTAGCATGTCACTGACAAGCTCATGGTGACATCGCTCAGGGTCTCCTCGTCCATTACATTAGTAGGTTGCCACTATAAAGGATGCACATCATAAATGCAATGTTATCTTGTACCAGTCTCCTCTGAGGGTGTGATCCCAAGGCTCAGAATTATATACAATATTGTAAACCAATGTCACCTCAATAAAAAAAAATAATAAAAATAATCTCTTCTGACCCCCAGAGTAACTCTTTATGTTCTTCCTACCCCCCCCCCAGCTAAGTTCTCCTCCCATTTCATTTGGCAGCAAAGTAAGAATCACATTTCTACAAAGCATTGCTTCTTTCTACAATGAAGGGAGGAGATGAGAGTTGAGCTAGCTTCAAGCTCACAAAAAAGTAAGGCTTCATTTTGAAGCAATTTCATTTTCAATCCTATAGCTTATGCTAATGGCACATGGAAACATCTGTGTCTTTAATGGATTTACTCTGGTTCTACTAAAGCCCGGAATTAGGAAGCCTGGATTTCTGCTAGGATCACCAGGCCTTCTGAAATGGAAGCAATCGCATTCAAAACCACACTGATCTCTTCCTGATGCTCTTCCTTCCAAGTGGTGGCTCTAGAAGCCACATTCTGTATAGTCAAACCCTAGATGACCAAGAATGACCAACTTTAAATTATCTGGTGATAAGCAATGACCAAACTCAACTTACCGCATTGCTAATCTGGTCTGCCTGCACAGTGAATAATGAAGTGTCCTGGGGCTGAGAATTGAGAAGGAAATAGCAGATTAAAAATTATTAAGACTCCAGCTAATTTGCTAAGAACAAACATATAGAAGTCATCTTCAACCAATTGTTGTCAATAAACAATTATAAAGATTTACAATTCCCCTTTATTTTAAATCAGATAAATAAATCAAAAGCATTTTTAACAACATTCTAAATATAAATCTGATTTAACAGAATACAGTAATTATAAATAATTAAATAAAGGACAGTGTCTTCAGAGGGATGCTTGGTCCACAGCATCTCTTCTGGATGTCAACAGTGAATAGTTTTAGTAGCATTTGGATGCAAATTTAAATTTTTCAAATGTTAGAAATTCAGTCTTACTGGATCACCTTAGTATGACTTATATGGGGTATTTATAATTCAGTTTCTTACCTGAGTGAATTCATTAAATGAGCCACCAGAAGCCTAAATAGAAATGGAAATCAAAGTATATTATTTTTGTAGGATTGGTAAATTTCCATTAAACAAGTTAGAAGGTAGAGACAACCGCAAATTTAAAATAATACAAAAGGATGCTGTGCAAAGGTGCTTAGGGAATGCCTAGGCATTCCATGTATAAAGGTCACACTGTATTGTTTCAAATGGGCTGACAAAAAAAAGATTATTTTTACAATTATTGCTGATGTGTGGATCAGTGCTAACCAAAACCTGTTTTCTCAAAGACAAGCTGATTCCAGAGAACAGCCATGAGGGGTTAAATCCCACTTTTTACAGGCCATTGAGAGAATCCAGGAGTGTTTGCAGTATTTCTATTAGATTATTGCCTTGATGTACAACTATTAAAAGGTTCTATAGCTCAAGTGGTTTGGGTAGAAACACTTCATGAGTTCTTATTGGCATGGAAATACTGCTAATATTTCCACTCTAGGAACTACAAGTGAGTGTGCTCTATATATTTTTAGTACTTGACAGGAAAAATGAATGCAAGCAAAACAGTAAATGGGATGGTAATAGACTTTCATCAGTCACCAACACAATCATTCTGTTTTTCTGGTGTGCTTTTGTCAACCTATTTGTGTTTGGTTTGCAGCAGATTTCAGAGGTACATGAGAAGCTACCAAGGAGATGAGGCTGGCCTTGAGAAGACAGTGATGATCAATGAAGTAGGTGGGAAACATGAGGAAAAACAAAACCTACAGAAGTTTTGGACTAGTCTACACTACATACTGGGATAAGTACCTCTTCTTTATCAGCCTCTAGTTCTTGGTACAAGAATCCGTATCTCTGGTTAGCAATTTCATCTTCAGGTAAATCTGAGTTGCTGTTGTCATTGTCCTGGGCACTAGTGGAACTCTTGGAGCGAGCATTCTGAGCGGTTCCCATAACAAATGGTCTAGCTTTCTCTGCACTTTACTCCCAGCAGTTAGGAATGGCCATTCCCCCACATACACCTGCTTGTAAGTCTATCTCCAGTTCTTTCTTTCTCTCACCTATATTGACATGTTCACAAAAATTATCCAAGTCTCCCACATCTCTGATAGACCAACAGTTAATAGATTCAAGCCAGCTGGCAAATCTACTTGTTTGGCCATCTGGTTTACCAGAAAATTCCAACATATGAATATTATTCACGTTCAAATCCAAGTCTGGCTGCCAAATTTGACCTGTATCTATTCTCCAAGAGTTTGCTTTTGTAATTCTTGGCAAGTTAATGATATGACTAGACGTCCCAGTCACTGTACTTTCAGACCCCTCTATTAATGAGTTTTCTGCCTTATATAAACAACACTCTTTTCTGTTTCCATTAGTTTCCAGGGAATAATCAAGCTCTGTTCCTGACTGTGCTGCCACTTTGTGTTTTATTGATAAAACAACAGCCTGATTTTCACCCCCATTTCCTTCAGAAGCACATGATACCATCTCACATTGAATTTCTTTAGCATGTGTAATGCCCAGTACACTGTGACATATCACACTGTGGTTATGAAGACCTTTTAATTTGTTCTTTATATCTTTACTAGCTAAATCCTGTTCTCCAGGGACAGCATCTTCAATAGTAGATAAGGACTCAGTATGGAGAGGCAGATTCAAAGTATCTGTATGACTAGCATACTTAGCTCCAGAACTCCCTTTAATTCTGTAATGACTTATTACTACTTGAATCCCATCATCTTGTCTTTGGCTTCTGTCACTAAATTCCTCAGCCATATCTAATCTTCCCATGCCTATTTCTAAAATACCAGTTTTCTTAAAATACTTTTCATTGGTCTGTGCATTTTCCTTATATCTAGCTCTTACATCTTTCCTACTTTCCTCCCCTTTGATTGTCAAGGGCTCCTGGTCTTGCCTTGCCATTTCTTCTGAAGACCTACTACCTTATTTTCTATATTTTCACATTCTTTCTCTTCAAATTCCCCTCTACCTTCTAGTGACGTGATAGCAACAGCTCCAGTGTCTACCTTTTCACATGTCTCCACATCTGCCCACATAGAATCTTCTATCTTCTGTTTCTCTTCCTCTTCTGCTGACTGTTTAATATCTTCTTGACTTTTATTGACTAGGCCACCAGTTTCCATGACTGGTATCTCTGAGTTAGGTAAGTTATTAGGCTGCTCTGTCTCCATAAAAGCAGCAATGGCAAAATCAGTCTCAGACACAGGCTTTGGGGACAGCTCTTCATTGCCACATGGAGGGGCTGGCCTCAGGTCAGGCTCACCATGTTCAGTTGCAGTGTGGCAGTTAGCAGAAGAAAGCATCTCAGTGGAAAATTCCATGTCTCGCTCTGCTTCAGAGAGACATGCAGAGTCTTCATGAGACCCACCTTGAGCAATTTCCTGGCTGACACTGTCTGTACTGCCATCAGAACCCCAAATAAATGCACCTAAATAACTTTGAGATCTTTGAATTTCTTCGGCCAACCCACTGTCTGGAGTTTCCTCCATGATCAGGTTACACAAGGAAAGACTTTTTGAAGAGTCAGTCTTTAGAATATGTAGGAAAGCAAAGGAAAAAAAAAGATGAAAAAGTTCATGATAAGATCTGATGAGAAACACAAAGCTCTTTAGTAGGGTAGCACAAATTACACGAAGCTAGAAAGTATTTAAATTAAATGGGTTTAAGGTTAAATCTATGACTAGCAAAACTTCGAGGAAGAAAAAGCTCAATCTAGATAGTATGTCAATTATACTACATATTACATATAAAAAATACAGACTTTTTTCTGAATATTTACTTACCGGCTGTACCAAATCAGTGCTTGTCTGTATGAACAAAAGGACAAGCAATAAATAATAAAGTGAGAGAGTAACATTTAGTAGCACATACAATTCCCTACTGTCCAGAGTCTGTATTCTGCTGCAGGCTCTGGTCTTTACTAGTTGAGATTAAATTTTATAACTTGTTTTGGGCCTGGAATGAGTCAGGAATGAGTTTTATTCTAATGCTATTCATGATTACACAACTGCAACACAAAGAAAGTCTTAGTCACTTTCTAATATCAACAAGGATTCTTATGGCTGTTACACAACTTCTTTAAGCTGACTCAAAAATACATTTCAAATGAATGAGCATGACTGAATCTGGCAGACTAAGATTAAGCACCAGTGGTTACAAAATTATATAATATATATGATCTGAAGTAGTAGCATAGTAAAATCTTCCCCAAACTCATGCTGCACTTTGATCTGCACTAGAGGTGGTGTTCACATAGGAAGGAAGGGGATGATTTTGACCAGTCTGACTGTCTGGAAGACTCTCCTCATGTTCTCCCCCAACCCAGAAGCTTAGTCTGCAAACAAGGAAGCATCTCTGAGGAGCTGAGCAAACCATGGAATGTGAGGAATCATATTCAGGGAACTAGCCTGCAACATTCCTACTCTCATGATTTCTAGCAGGTCTGTCCTTTGAACTACTCAATGCTCCTTCTAGATGATACTTTCATCTCATCATACTTTTTCCTTCTAGAGAAGAAAAAATGTGCCAGAGCTCAAGCCCAAGATATGAAATATCTGAAACAATAACAACAAAAAACATGTCCACTTAATATCCAAAGAAAATACCAGAGTTAGGGTTAGAATCCAAATGTCCTGAACATCAATTCAGGCATTCCTTTTATGTAAATAGACAAATAAAACTAGTTCACTATGCAAGATGTTTTCAATTAAAATTTTTAGCTCTTCCCTTCAGAACTTGGCATGATGTTCTTGGATCCTGAGAGGTGCTATGTAACTCTGCTTCTGTGTAAAGGAAGGGACAGTTGCCCTCTATTCTAAGGGAAGGAAGCAGCAATGCCATTTCCAAAGCCAGGCCTATTAAGAATTAGATCTGGGCCCTCCCTGGTGGCGCAGCGGGTTAAGGCACAGCACTGAGAAGCTAAAGCCACTTCCGCATGAGTTCGAT